CCGAGATACCGGGTGCTCATATTATAAGGCAAGGTTATAAAACCATCTTTTAAGATCATTTTAGTGAAAGTTTCATCCTTCAAGGCGTACCATTCACTGCTCAAATACTAAACAACCTGCACCCATGGCCGAGATACAGGGCTCCCATATTATAAGGTAAGGTTATAAAACCACAATTTAAGATCATTTTAGTGAAAGTTTCATGTTCCTATCTCATAGAATTTAAGAACAATGATGAATAAATAATTTTCGAGCAAAATTTAAATGGCCGGCTGAATATATTACCGCAGGAGCCGCGGCCGCGGAATTTAAATCACCACGTCAAAGGGTTAATCACCAGCTTCCCACTGTGGTGGCCCAGGCTTCCTCCAAGTACTTAAGTTTCCCCTGCCAATTTTCATTCCACTTATTGTCCCATCATCATCATCATCATCATCTACAATCTGGGGCTTGTGCAACAGCCCAAAAAGTGGCCAGAGTACCAAGTTGACTCAGTCTTGCCACCATAATATTGAACAAAGATGATAAAAATTGTAGGATCTGAGATTCTCACAGCTGTGGTTATGAAGAGTTCTGTCTTCTGGGATATAACACCATGCAGTCTGCTGAAAGTCAACCAATGTTTCGCAGGAACATGTCGCCTCCATCTTAAGCATCAAAGAATAAGAATAGATTTCACCTGTCAGCCTTCCCTCCCAAGGAGAATGGTCCAATGAGATAACCATTACACCATGTCATTAATTAATTAACTGAAAATCAATACTGGAAATGGGCATTCCCTGTACTGTGTGGATTCACATATGACCATGAATGTAAGTTTTTTGTATTGTTTACCCAACACAGATAAAGTGAGCCTCATCAGTGAATAAGATGTAACAGTAAATGTGGGGGGGAGTGCAACTAACCAGCAGCAGTATTCAAACCACCTACCCAAGTCTCCATGTTCAAGTTGCTGACTTCTGTAGGCAATTTGTTGGATACCAATAATCAGACTGCAATGAACCATTCAAATAATGTTCTCCACAACATGCATGTTTTGCCTCAGAGCATGAGTAGTTGGTGTCAACACACAGGTAAACATGCCTCTTTCTTGAGACTGCCAATGGATGGTACAAAACACGTCCTCTTGGATTTTTCAGGTCACGAATCACTCTTGATATTCCTCAATATCGGCAGGAGCATTCTCATTACAAAAACCACAAAGAGAGTGTCTGCACTTCTCAGAATCATACCCATACTGACGTAAAATTTTTTCACCCAGACTGACTTTGGGAACAACCTCTTGTAGCTGTAATACTGAGTCATGAAACATCCTGTATATCAGATACTAACCTTAGAAAGAAATTGTACAATATATTTCAAAATCTGGTAGTTATCTTCAGGAAGCTTTTCTAAGATTAATATCTTAACTTGACGTGGTCGCTCTTCTTTTGACATACCTGAAAAAATTCACACTTTCAGATCATGATCAATACAAGAAGTATATGTACAGCTAACACACTGAGTACTGATCATGATATTTCAATTAAGTCACAGGATGATGGATGTACATGTTTCCACAATGTCAATACTTTACAAAATCTATTCCATACATGGTGGAATCTTAATGTGCAGGAGGCATGAGAACAGAGTTTGTGAGCAGTGACTTTGTATATTCTTTGATGGTCCATTACAGCTAGCAGTTACAGAAGAAATCAGTTTAAACTTTCTATACCAATAGTACAAGGACTGTTCAAATGAAACCTGTTCAGGGACTGTTCTGGGTGAAGGAATAAAGGCCACTAAAAACTGTCTGTGTAAGCAGTGAGGTAGGCATGCCACTGACAGACCAGCCAACAGATCCTCTTTGCACAGCTCCCTTGACTGCTTCAGAAACCGAAGCACCACCAGAGCCTACAAATTCATCTGACCTGAATCTTGAGCCCTCTAGTGTTTTCTTCACAGGGAAAAACATGTGAATGAGTTTCATGTGAACAATCTTCATACTATACAGAATAATGTGAAACAGGTGCATAACTGTTGCAGGAAATCAGTCTATCTTGTGCCTCTGGATTTGGTTCCACTGACCTTTCTGCCCTCTGCTATAGATATGTTAAATCAGAAATTAATAAAAATATGACACTGAACCAATCATCAAGGGTGTAGAAACCCAATTTTGTGCTGGAGGCACCCACAGGGAAGAATATGACCCCCAGTAACAGGACGATCATAAGGGCAATGATCAGCAGAAGGAATCTACAACCTAATGTGGACTTCAAACCATCAGGTGGGGGGGATCTTCATATTTCACATTCCCAAATCTCTATTTTCACTTCTTATTTTGCCATCTTACATGCAACTAGTGAAGTGGAAATAAGCAACGTGCAACAGGATGCTGCAGTAAAATATTCCCAAATCTGTTTTATCTATGGCATAGGCGAAGGCCTCAATCTGTGAACAGAAAACCTGCACACAGATGGGATCTCTCTGAGTAAGAGTCCAGTGTCTTAACCCAAGAGTACTAGGTACCCTTTTCTGACACAAGATAATTTGTGAGCGTGGTAAAATTATGTAATGGGATCCAATTAATTTCAGATCAGCATAATTTTGACACAAAATTCTCTATAATCAGCATTTTTTGAAGAGTTAAGTAGCTACATGTCATATTTATATTTCTACTTTATACCTCACATGCTGAAATATACAGAAAGGAAGAATGTACAAACAACTTACTCTGGAACTGTGTTATTTCATCATAGAGATCAAAGGTCATAAGTGGTTCCTCTAGCTCTCGCAAGAATGTCTTTAGAAGAACAGCTGCAAGATGAACATCACCATGGAAATCCACTGGCTGACCCTGGTTGTATTTAGATTGCAGCTCTTTCACAAGCTGGACACTTGCTGATCTTCGGAATAATCCCTCTGTTTCCAGAGCTACAAAAAAAGATGTCAAACAATCTTGTAAATTTTGAATTCCTACATTAATGAGACGTAACAGAACATCAAACATGAATGTGAGGTTCTGTTCAAAAAAGGTTATCAACTGCATGATGAGTTCACTTCTCTCATAATTCAGCACCAAAATATGCATTTAAAAACGACTCTAAATAATATTATGAACTCTGGTTAACAATTTACAGCCTAACTAGTATAACACCCAATGAGAACTCAATGGAAGTTCCTTCATTTGTTACATAAGCTTTCATAATGTGGCATATTCGCTCAAAGCAAGAACTGCAGTCACAACAGCCAGCTATTGCTAGGCAACAGTAAACAACAGAGAAATGGTGTTCTCTGCACAGTCTGTGCCAACGACTGCACATGCAACAATGAAATGCGTCATGCCAGCATTAAGCAACAATTGCACCGCAACAGGGGGAACAGTATTTTCTATGTGGCCCATACTGAGATGTTATAAGCAGGACTAGTCAGGTGTTGCAGTTTTTTAAGACAATCTCTGGGGTTCAGTTGTGAGTTGTTGCTTTGAGAAGCTGGTAGCTGAGGCCAGGGGACAGTTCGGGAGCCCAGAGGAAGGAGAACATCTGCCATAGAAAGCCGCTACCAAGCAATGGCTAGTGAAGACTGTAACAGATGGAGAAGCCTGGTGTATCCTATAGTAATTTGTGAAGTTTGTAGAACAGTAGTTCTACTCAAGAACTCACTTGTAGTTATGAGCTGTAAGGGTGCAATAAATCTGATTACCAATCCAAATCCCATCCATAGTCACTGCTTTCTCCTTTATATTTTTCTAGTGCTACATGCCACTGAATAACATATCAAGGCTGACATTTGATGCCATCTCCCATGAATAACACCACTAACAGCCAATCAAAAACTGTCATCTTTATACAGTACATCACATTTCAAATATCCACATAAAAATATTATCAGTACTCATTGAACAGATGGGAAAACTGTGTGATGGAATATGCTCTTTCAAACTGAAAGAAAAGCTGCAAACTACAATACATACTCACCATCTGGTTGACTGAGAAACTCCACACACTGTCTTACTACTGGTGGAATCACTTCTCCATTATTGTTATCTTTGATAAACTGAAGTGAGACACCAAACTGTTGTGTCTGTATAGGGGTATGAAACTTGGCGTTTTGTTGAGGTACTGATGGTAATTGTACCACTCGGCTGGTTTTCTGTAAGAGACGCTCATCATGCCTGCAAGACACATTTTAAGTATGCTCACCATAGCAGTACTCATAAAATATTGGAAAAGAAAGTATCACATTTCTGTTCTTAATCATTTTAACCTGTCAGCTTGTGAAGACATCAATGCCAACAGTGTGCATAACGCAATGAAGCAAATTACAAATGACCCATATGCTAATCAGTTCAGAATTTCTTGACTGTCTAAACAAACCTCAAAAGGTACTGTGGCTGCAGGGCCATTACACAACTTTGGCACACTTCTCAACTCTGACTGGCTTCCATATGAGACAAGCAAACAGATGCATGCACATGCATGACAAGCAGACTTCTGCCTTAATTCTATGCTGCTTCAGCGAGCTCTCTTAAAGATATTCTTCAAAGCAAATTACTATGGCCCATCTGGCTTCAAGGAAGAAATGTAGGCCACTCAACATTCAAGCAATATTTTGAGTTATACATGTGTTTCTACAGAGACAGGATGGCATCACAGTAGCACCACAGTCCAGGTAATATGATTGAAGAAATGCTTCTTCTTTATAAAACTAAATTCTTCCATCAAACACTACACAAAACACCATCATTTCATTTTACAAACAACTGAGTAATGATTTTCACATTGATACATTTTAAATTAACACTGCTTCTTTCATAAGAGTAATGGACTCTAACTAAAATCAAATCATTACAATTGTACACATGCCAGGCCATGAGTATATTCTATCTGTATCCACAAATCCTCCTGCCCCTCACACAGCCAGTCACCACCACCTCTGTTTTCCTTGTTCAGTACTGTTCCTGTAAGATTTATCCCAAAAGTATCTTGGCCCATATCATCACATTCAAGTGTTTATCATATGTAGGTAAGTCAATAAGTAAGTTACAAATGGATATAGAACTTAAACAAATAAGAGTACTGATTTGAAAAATGCTTTTATTTCTCAACATAATCTCCCTGTACATCGAGGCACTTGTCCCATCATTTCACAAGCCCCTGAAAATCAGCAGCTTAGAATTCTTTGGGCTGCTGTCGGAACCAGGCGGTAGCTTCCCTTTACAGGGAACATTTACATCCTGAGGATGTTAAAGTAGGAGTCGGCATTTATGTAAATGCTGACTCCTCCTAACGCCCTCAGGAACCTTCGTATGGCCATTAAACGGAAGTGACCAGGACTCCTCACCAAAGGCGTGTTGCTCTTGCATGAGAACGCACGTCCCCATACTGCCAACAAGACAAATGAGATGCTGCGAAATTTCAAGTGGGAAGTCCTCGAGCATCCTCCATATAGCCCCGACCTTGCTCCAAGCAACTTCCATTTGTACGGCCCTCTTAAACATCATCTTTTGGCTGAACATTTTCCTGACGATGAAGCTGTAGAAAGGGAAGTCACTGCCTGGTTCTGACAGCAGCCCAAAGAATTTTATGCTGCTGGTTTTCAAGGGCTTGTGAAATGATGGGACAAGTGCCTCAATGTACAGAAAGATTATGTTGAGAAATAAAAGCATTTTTCAAATAAGTACTTTTATTTGTTTAGGTTTTATATCCATTTGTAACTTACTTATTGACTTACCCTCGTACTATCAAATTCATGTGTATACATAAGTACACTATAAATACAGGGAGATCGAGAAGTCGCACACATCACACTAAGCAATTATATTTTGCTGGTTTCATGCACAAACTACAAGACATACAGCACATACTATTAATGTTTATAACCTTACATCTTAGAAATGAAAAATCAAATCATATCTTTACAAATGGCTCGGTTAGGCTGCACCATAGCTCAAACAGTTAGTCGCTGGCTTCCCACTGCGGTGGCCCAGGTTCGATGCCGTGTCTGGTCAAGTGGGATTTGTGGTGGACAAAGTGGCACTGGTCAGGTTTTCTCTGAGTACTTCGGTTTCCCCTGCCAATCTTCATTCCACCAATTGCTTCACAATCACCCTCATCTATCATCTGGGGCTGGTACAATAGGCCAGAAGTGGCCGCAGTACAAGGGACTTAGTCCCACCCCACTAGCAATAAAAAAAATACAAATGGCTTCCCTGTTTAGCAATGCATGCACGAGCTCTTTTTACCATGTTTGAGGCCACTTTGTGGAGCACCTGTAAACTGATGCTGTTAATCACTGTTGTAATGTTCCTCTTGATGTCATCCAGTGTATGTGGATTGTTTTTATAGACAATTCCTTTGAGGTACTCCTAAAGGAAAAAATTTGCGGGTGACAAATCGGGCTAATGAGGGGAACAAAATCCTTTCGAAATGAGATGGTCACCGAAAAACTCGCGCAAGAACTGCATGATTTCATTAGATGTGTGACATGTGGCACCGTCTTGCTGCAACCAACACTCACGTTCATCAACTTCAAGAAGCGCAATAAACTGTGTAATGATGTCTTGGTACACTGCACTGTTCACTGTTGTTTCAAAGAAAATTTGGCCTACTATTTGACGTGATACAGCACACCACACTCCAATTTTCTGACAGTGCAAGGGCTTTTCATGTAACACATGTGGATTTTCATATGACCAAATCCTATTGTTTTGAGTGTTCATGTAGCCACTAAGGTGAAACCATGCTGCATCAGTGAAGAAACACTGATCAAACTCTTCAATTCCATGAAAACTCATTCTTGGGAAAATGACATGTCTGTCAAGCAATAAACAAAGCTATACTGCAGATGCTGTATGACCGATAGACGACAGATGGCATTTCTACTCGTTGTTAGTACTCCTACAGTACCATCTAGCAGTAGGAGATATAATCCTATTAACTGCAATACAATCTATAACAACTTTCAGTTTGATGTGCATGACTTTTCGATCTCCCTGTACATTTTAAGTAGTTACTATAGGATTCTGACGATGGAGTATAACACACTGATATGTGGGTCCAGTGATTGAGGCTAGCTCTTTCTAAGGGACCCAACTGAATAGGTGTTTTCCTTCACCTGAGGACGGAAACAGATCCAGTTTCCGAAACGTCGTGTTTTTATTTGTTATCTTAAAAACCAGGACGATGGATAAAGTCCAAAAACCCAACATATCAGTGTCCCTGTACATCTTCCTTCATTACTTGTCCCTGCTACTGCAATTACCACTACTCTCCATCTTGTGTGCACGCACGCACGCACACAGAGTTAAATATTTGATAATTCATGCTATAAGTTTCTTGGGTGGGGCATTTTTGGCTGAACTGATTAGCATAACAAAAAACAAAATTACAAACATGAAATATTTCTACAGACTATATTCACATTTCACATGCAAAAACTGTGAAAAATGTTAATTCTTAGACTGAAGACAGTTCAACACATGTATAACTAGTGACTTGAAGTGGGTTTTGTTAACTGTCTTAATCCCTCACAAAAACAGCAGCCTCAGAGATACAGCACAACAAAACATACTTACTCCAGAACAGGCTGTGGTATGCTGATCTGATCTAAATGAAGATGCTGCTTCAATTCATGAAGATAATTTACGTACATAACCTTTCGACCAAATTTTGCACTAAAAAATAAGCATAAATATCAAAAGTTAGTTACAGCTTGTACTATATGCATTGACATCTAAATGTATCAGCAGCTGGGTGATACTGCAAATCCTTTTGTTTTATATTTACTGTATATGTACTTGATCTAAGTAAAGAAAGACAATCAGATTGATCGTATGTTCACAGACAGCAGATGACATTCAAATATACATGATGTCTGATCTTTGAGAGGAGTTGATTGTGATGGTGGTTGCAGAAGTTAGGGAATAACTAAAAGCACAACACAAAACACTGATATGGAGAGGCACAATCTCAAGAAGCTAAATGAAGTGGAAGGTAAAGAACTATATCAGGTTAAAATCTCAAACAGGTTCACAGCTTTGGAAAATCTAGATGTGAGTAGAACATTATAATGAGGCAGTATACTAGAAATTCACAGACTTCAAGAGAGGCTGATTCAGTTAGAAGTAAGTATTGCACAATACTCCCATTCATGCTGGTGTACCCATGAAACTAATTATACTAAATAAAATGTGTTTAAATAAAAACCTATAGCAAATAACACATAGCTAACCTTTGTCTGATACATTTCCTACACAAAATAATCAGAAACATGCTATCTAAAACATAAAGATTAAAATATACAAACCTGTAATTGTGCATATAATTTGTATGGCTGTGAAACTTGGTCTCTCACTTTAAGTGAAGAGTGCTGAGGAGAATGTTTAGACCTATGAGGGATAAAGTAGAGGCTAGAGAAGATGAAATAATGAGATGGGAAGGGCATTTTGCAAGGAGCAAAGTGAAAATGCATACACAGTTTTGGTAGGAAAACCTGAAGGAAAGAGTCTTCTATGAAGATCTAGATACAGATGGGAGGCTAACAGTTAAAAGATCTTAATGAAATACAATGAGAAGGTGTGAAATGGATTCATCTGGTTCAGGGTACGGACCAGTGGCACGTTCTTGTGAACAGTGTTACTGAACCCCTGGTTCCATAAAATGCTGCAGATTTCTTGAGTGGGTGAGAAACTATTGGCTTCTCAATAAGGACTCAGCTCTACAGAATTAGTTAGTTCATATAAAAGAATATATTTCTACTATAAATACAAAGTCACAAAATATGGTGACTCATCTGAGATCTTCAGTCATAGCAAACTCTACAAGGTCTTGGCAAAATTAATGCCTGTGCAGGTATGTTTCACCAGTAATTCAAGATACCACCCTTTAAAAAAAAAAAAAAGCTGTAACAATGTTAAAAAAAACAATATTAAGATTTTGTATGGCTTTAGTTACAAATAACACACCTGATTGCTGCTCTGAAGATTTGCCATACCACTCTTATAAAATTGGTTGGATGGACTAGATACAATGCTTTAAGATTCTTCTTGTACTTGCGGTCAAACGCTCGGTATGCTTGCCACAACCAGGAGAGTGGGGGCTTGTTCTTGCTTGTGAGGCCATAATGAAAGTATACAAGGCTGTAGTCTTCCTCAACAAACTTATCCAATGTATACATCAGGTACCTACAACAAACATCACACTGTAAAACAGGAGAAGGGGAATTACTGTGATGTCGAGTACATCATTTCCAAATACACCCTCTGAAATTTTGCACCCCTCATTATTCTTGAAGTGCATCTACTGGCAGACAAAAGACTACCAATCACAAAGCTTAGTGACAGCAGAGATATTATTCTGCACAGAGGCAAGAGCAATTCTTTTTCTTTGTTATTTCATGAAATATAGACGTCAAAGAAATTTTCAAATAAAAATGACAGCTCCTCAGAGTTCTATATATAACTTAATGCATCAATTTCTTTTATGGTGGGGTGTTTGTGTGGAACCTAACACCATTTGATATGAGCTGTAAGCAGGAATTATAGCACACAGATATGAAACAAAACTAAATTTGAAAAACATCTCCCCAATCCAAAATTTAACAAAGGGCAGAAAGAGTAAAATTACAGGCCATGACCATGCATACTGCAGCCAAGATATACAGTGCGAGTTTCCCCAGAATAACTGGGGCGTAATGCCATGTAGTGCAGCAGACTGTTACAAACATCTTCATGCTAGAAGAGGCCCTCTACTCTTAAGATGTTGGCATTATGTTCCTCAAAAACAATGGTAATGATCTACAAGAATGAATGGAGCCACACCCTAGAAAACAGTAATCTTCAGAATCTACAATACATGTACCCCTCATTTAACAAACACTCAATTTACAAAATTTTGTCCACAATGCAGCATATTATTCTGCACATGTTTCTCACTTAATGAATTTCATTTTTGCTAGAACAAACAACTTACATTCATGATTTTTGGGGGGAGGGGAGCTAAGACAGAGAAATGCATGAAATCCAGAACACTTGGGGGAGAAGCACACAGAAATACTTGGCTTCAACTTTCCACTGAATAGAAGACCATACACACCCAAAATGAATTTTAAAATTCTACTCAAAAGAAAAAAAATTTAAATGCCACCTAACAGGAAGGCCAAAACCTGGACATTGTCTTAAAACACTGTCAGATAACAGCAATGCTGAGACCAAAAAGGCCAACCTAATGGTCTAATTTCATGACTGGGGAGGCGGTGGTGGCAGTGATGATGATGACTACTACTACTACGTATTTCAGTTTTACAGACGACTCAAGTGGACAATGTTTCACCAAAGCGACATCATGTTCATAACTCCTTGTGTAAATTACACATCCAAATTTGTGGAAATAACATTTTGAAACAAAAAATGTGTGATTTATGTGCTGAAACACAAAATATGTACATTAATCAGTTTTTGTAATATATTTTATTAAAAGATGAAAAACATTTACCTTAATAAAAGTGCATGATCCAATACTTTGTTCCCAGGCAGCTTACAAGCTGAAACAACAATCACTTTTCGGCCATATGTGTCATCTCCTACAACTTCCACAATTCCATATTTGGCAACTTCTGAGAAATCTTCCTCCATTTCATCATCAACAAAAGGATAAGACAGACTATCTACTCCTGTTGCAATTACTGGAGCATTAACCAACTCCTCTTCAAAGTTCTCTTCAATGGTACCATCTGATACAGGAGATTCAAGGTAATCCAAACCACTGGCTTCAGTTTTCTCTTCCATGTCTATATGGCACAAAAATAAGAAATTATGTATAAAAGCATTGTGCCAGCTTATGAAATAATTCTTTTACTTGTGCATTTATTTTATTCATTATTTCCAACTCATAATCATATCTTACAGAACATATGGTAAGTGTGTGATTGAATGAAAAGAAGAAAACTCAATAACTGGAATTGCTTTACTTCAAAACACCAAGTGACTGAGAAAAGAAATAAAGTAACAATATAATTGAAGGTGTGAAGAAAACTAACTAAAAACAGAAACTTTGCAGAGATCAGACAGTGATTCTAGGGGAATATTTTGGATCTTGTCATATGTTACATACATTCTGAATGATCAGAGAGAAAAATGGAAAAGAACAAATATGTTTAATATCATTAGCATGTTCCAGGCAAAATAAATAACCTGTTCAACTTCTAGTATCTGACCTATGATGTTAAAACTATTGAGAATTTTATTTTTAAATCATAAGTTGGTCAGAAGTGATAGAGAACAAAAATGTTTATGTCTGCAAACAGTTCCCTCTGTCCCCTACAACTCAACATGTTTTTCAATTTAAAATTTATCAGGAACACTGCTTCTTGCCTACTCATTAGCATAAACAACAAAGTGACAATTAGTGCATAATCGGAATCAAACTCAAATAATTTATCACATCTCTCTCTCTCTCTCTCTCTCTCTCTCACACACACACACACACATATACACATGCACCTCCTGACAAACATCTAACAGTTCTTCACCTCGGTGCTCCTGTTGACTTTTATCACCTTCCAGTAGCAGTACACATCTCCAGAATAAGTAATTTCCACTACCAGCCACTCCTTTTTACTATGAAATGTTCAAATATTCTACTGTGAACAATTACACAGCTTCAAGATTAATGTCTTCTGGGATGTGTCACTGCTTAGTGCAGTAGTTAGTAATATTTTGGGATAATCTGCTGCATTCATCTTCAGGGTAGAAGATTACAGCCTTCTTGGATGTGTTGCAATGTAGTTTGGTAAATATCAGACTAAACAATATAATATCCCAGAAGACAGCACTCTTCGTCTTCACCATCATGAAAACTTAAAATTTCACAGTTAAAGTTCTTATTAAACCATAAACATGATGATTATTTGTTTGTTTGTTTGTTTGTCTGCATGAACAAGCAATAAGCATAGTGGTTGGCTTTTCTGGCACATTCTCTTATAAGACCAACTGCATGGATGTAAATTTGGTGAATTTCAACTGCTACGACAGGTTTTTATCTGCTAAACATTACCAAGATATAAAAAATATCAGTATAAGAAATTCTCTTGCCAGAGTTTGACTGCCTAAGCAATAAAAATGCAATGGGCATCATATGCCTATTTGTTCTAATCCTGCCCTCTACAGGGCATCTGTAACCCTGTAACATCTAAAAAATACAACACACTGCATAATCTGCTGTGTAGTAGTACTCGGTGGAAACAATTACCAAGGCACAGAAATGAACTAAGACCAGTTCACAAAGTTTCAAAAATTAAATATAAAATCTAAAAATGTAAGTTCCAGATCTGTAGAATAACCTGAATAATTTGAAGAGAAACATCAATTTGAGACATTTTCACCTATGAAAGTCTCTGGAATTGAAATTGGAACATCTGAAAGGTGATGTGTAATTATGTAGCATAAGAAGGTGCACACATAAGTATAAAGTTTGGTGTACTTGGTGGAAACTCTAGATGTTCATAAAAAGTTAGTTTTTATTCCTCTTTATGCTGTCAACTTTCTCTTGTGGATAATCAGCATACCTCCAAACTACGAACTGTGGGGAAGATACATACAGATGATTCAGACCAAGTAATGTCCCATCAACTACAAGTTCTGTATAATATTTATAAAATAAACATTCATGACAGACAAAAAATGGCATTACATCTTCAATACAATATCCTAAAATCCTCTGCAAGCATCCTGACTCGCACTCAAACCACTAGGAACACATTTTGTAACACCTTCAGTATTTCCATACATTCAAGAATGTAATGCCACTTAAATTATCCTTCAAGCCAGTTAAGTTATTAGATACCATAAGAGGAATGTATACATTAAGACAAAGGCAACTTTCTGGTTATGAAAAAGCAAAGACCAAACACCACATGCCCACCTGTCACCATATCACAGCTTCTTTTAAATGTTACTGATTATTCACATGTGTTACTTACCAGCATTCTTGTATGTTTCATTACATAACAGGGTAGTTTTTGATCTCACACAAGTGCTCCCTCCTTTTCAAGTTAGGTTATGTTTGGTAACACTGAATACATCTTTTGTTTATTTCTCTGACATCAATACAGAACAAATATTACAATGTCATGAGATGTGCTGCCATGAAAACCGCACACCTCTTAGATGCTGTTTAGCTGTTTCCAAAATCACGTTTTTTAATTTTTAGTCATACTGACACCAAGAACGGTCTAATGAGAAAGGATGGCATAAATGGACTAACAAAGATGATGTCCCAAGTAGTTCACTAACAGCTACATACTGACCAGTATCATTTCACAAATCTGAACACTGTAAAGCCTTTATCTAATATAGTGGTGGCTGATTTTGGTAAAATGAGTAAGTTAACATACTTTGGTACCAGAAGTCTGTTCTGAACTCCATCTAACTGAGGTTAAGTGAATGTAACTTTTTTCTTCTATGGCTCTATAGCCCTTTTCAGTGAGTGAAGACTGTTCATGTCTTAGATTACATGGCCAGTGTGATCAGTGGTGGATGCAACTTAGCCTTTTATAAATATTTTAATACAGATTTCTGGCAAAAGTGAGTCTTATATGATGCTATAGAAAAATGTATGTTTGGCATGAAAGACACTTCAGATCCTATCAATAACAGGATGATTCATTCTGCCCAGTACACAGTAAAAAAGAAATATGGAGAACCAAAAGAGAAAACTGAAACACATATAAAACCGGTCAGAGAGCAGAGTAACAAGATGAGATATTCCTATTACAGAGTTTGTATCCTCATATCTGACAGTTTAATAGTACTTCTGATAGGTACAGATGTTCAGCAATTTATGAAATCTTACAGAACTTACATTTCCCCATAACCATGTGTTACGCAAAGACTGTAAACAAAAATAGTGCAGTCAAGGGAAGAGCATAAGTGGCGTTCTCAGTGCCCCTGCTCTCACACTTCTTTGAAAGACAGTGACGTCAAAAATTTGCAGAAGTTAATAGAAAATAATAAAAACTCTGCTCAAGTTGTGGGTTTTCTTCAAAAATAACATCTTCACTTCAACAACAGAATATTATTTTCACAAAAAGTTTTGAAAGATTAAATTTTAAAACCATTCTTAACTAAGGTTTTACATACAATGAAAATTTATGAACTTCTACTCTGTTAAGTTTTGGCCTCCACATTTGAGGCAGAAAGTATGCAATTTCTGTGAGCTGTTGATTCAATTCTTATAAATGAAATTCTATATCACTTTTCATTGAAATTACCTCATGTATTATGTATTACGGAACACCATTTCTTCTCGTCTGAAATTCAATCGGTTTCTATTGATAATTATATTTTTTGTGCCTACTATTGTAGAAAACATGTATTGAAGGGCAGTGTGTGTATTTTTGTTAATGATAATATAACTTCCTCCAGTTTCAATCTGGAGACCTGTTGTGTTGACAGAGACATTGAGGTATGTGCTGTTCAATTAAACCTTCTGAATAATACATTTTATATATTAACAATTTATAGGTCACCATCTGGAAATTTTTCTAAATTATTTAGAGCAAGCTTTACAGTTGCTTTATAACCCTAAAACTGATCTATTAATTTGGGGGGACATAAATATAGATTATTTAGAAGAGTCAAATAGAGTCAAGCAACTAAATGCCCTACTTAAAACTTTTAACTTAGTAAACAAAATTACCTTTCCCACTAGAATATGCAGAAGTACTAGCACTGCCATCGATAATATATTTATGGATACTTCTAAAGATAGAAAATTTTTGTCTCATCTCTGCACAATGGGTTGTCTGATCATGAAGGTCAATTACTTACCATAGGCCTCCCATTATTACATAAAAAAGAATGCCATATTTACTCCTATAGGAAAATTAATAATTTTACAACTGCTGATTTCCAAAAGCAATTGAGTTATGAGAACTGGGATGATGTTTTTGGTGGGAATAATGCGAATCTCATAATTAATTCTTCTTTGAGCACATATTTGAGAAATTTTAACCCCTTTCCTATAGTAAATAAGCATATGCCAGCTAAGAGAACCACTATGCTACATGACAGAAGGTCGCGGGTTCAAGTCCCAATGAGGTCACTGGATTTTTTCAATTGACCTAATCCTTCCGGCTGCAATATGGTCCTGGGGTTGACTCAGCCTCTAATGGAAATGAGTACCAGGAATTAATTAAATAATTTTCCTGGGGAGTAAAGTGTGGCTGGCGCATAAGGCTGACAACCTTACCGCCATCTTTTAGACGATGGTCTAGATCAAGGGTCTCCAAACAACGGCCCGCAATGTAATTTTATCCGGCCCGTGAAAGAATTGTGCAGAAATGCGCCAATTGAACTAATTTTCCAATGAGTACTGGTAAATGTGATTCCGAGCTTATTGACCTGACATATTATACTGCAGTTTGATGGCTTAGCTGTTGAAAGGTTCTCACGCGCTTCTTTCAGCTCAGGAATGAAATTGATATATTTCATACCTAGAAAACCATAACGAATCATTTTTATCAGATACCAAGTGGCTTTGGAAATTAGCAGTTTTGCTGATCTGGTAAGCCATATGAACCATTTGAATTGAAAGTTGCAGGGTGAAAATAACTTAGTCTGTGATTTCTTTGCACTTATCAAGGCATTCGGAGCAAAGTTGATACTTCTGGAAAGCCAAGTGAAAAATTGTAACTTTGTTCATATGCTATACTGTGCAGAGTTGCATAAAAAGGGTGAAGCAGAATTTCCTTCCTCATTTGCAAATTTAGTCATTTTAGATTTGAAAGAA